TCAATAATTTTGCACTCCAATGCTCTAGAACATATGACTGCCTTTATTATAACTGCCTACGACTCAATTAAACTACGTTGGCCATCATCAGAGCAAACAAAGTGTTTTTCCACATCTTCTAATCCTATTCAGCAGTGGTCTTTCCTCCAGATATTCTGTACGTCTTAGGTCAAGAAATTCGATTCTCCGTCGAGATGTTAAATGGCACAGCAAAAATTTATCATGTTATAGATTAGTGCAAATGGTGCCCTTCATCTTTGCACCAGACGCCTCAATCTTCGTAACTGAATGTCAAGACTCGTTATAAAGTATGGAAATATCGGTCAGGAAAGCCACGTTCACGGTCTTCATACAAGAATTAAGTTATGTCTGTCCTGAAACGTCATTAAGCTTGTGTGAACCACTTTCAGCGACTATCGCTGGATTATTCTTTAATCCCAATGGACATTCAGGTTGTAAATGGAAGAACATCGAAGAAGCATCACCGCTTTCTCTTGAGTAACGCTTTACTCAGAGCCCGGCCGCTGCTTTAATAGTGGTGGCTCAGTGAGAAACTGTGGGAACCTGAAAATGACAAGACAACGTGCTTGAGCAGGCCTACGAAAAAACTCTACGCGGCCATCATAAAATCTACAGATCGTTGTCGATCATTTTATGTTGATGATAATGAAGAAGATGATGACAGTAGTGAGCATGACGATGGATGAAGACGCAATGTCAAGAAGTGATGATTAAGATGATAAACTGTCCGTCGACAGCAGATTCTTTAGGGGACAACTAGAATGAACAATATGGCTACTAACAAAGAAGGATCTGGTCATGATGTGAAATGTGTCATGTCTGATCAGGGTATGTACCTCATTTGAGTCAAGGGCAAAATGAACCTGAGGTACCGATCTTAGCTTTGACGAGATTAGATTAAGATGACAGTCATCACAACATTCAGAACATGCCTCAAATCAGTGTAAAAGTGAACCGAGATGAACATTTTCCCAGTGCGTCTGCGAATGAATCACTTTCATAGAACGGACATTTTTTGCCGCATAACAAACAAGTGGCCAAAGTTGCGAAATAACACGAGTACTTTTATTGAAACAATAACTCTTTGCCTGTTATGATTGGTATTTTTAAGTTATTTACGATGGCTAAAAACAGCGCCTAATGGCTCGTTGACGGTAAAAACTTTGCTCGCATGTAAGATTCGTTTCGTGGCCAAAAAACTACGACCTTCGCCAACTTGTCGCCGTTACGTTCGCACGTCTGAGAAATTGGATAGTTCAAAAAGTGATGCCAAAATACGCAAAATAAATGGCAGCGGCAGGAGTCGGCGAGAAAAGCACCAGCAGCGCATTCAACACTACAAACCATGAGCCACAAAGCCGAAGAAGATTTCAAAGCCACGACGCGCCTCGAAACGGGCCGTCGGTCAGTGAGTCAAAATGCGCGCCATCATCGACAGCCGGCTGAATGGAAATCTTGCTAGAAGAGAGCTTAAAATTTAATCCGATTTTCATTCGGCTTCTTTCTCACCTGCTCAAACCAGTCATGAGCCGTTTGATTCGTCTGTTGCGAAGTTCTGGTCATTGCTTTCAGTACTGTATCTTCATCTTCTTCATCTTCATCTTCCATCGCCGCTTCTCCTTTCGGGTCGCGGAGGCAGACGCGTCA